ACCTCATCCTCATCCGATTACGAAATACGATGAAATTTCGTAAACTTGTTGCTTTCCTGTAAACTTGAATATGTACATATATATTTTTGCTTTCCTTGCTTCTCTGTGCCTTCTAATCTCACTACGACACCTTTTGCGCACCACGTGGACAGAGAAGTTTCGATTTCATACATATCCAATTACAAAGATTATTTTATGCGTGCATGGCGAGAAAATTTTTCAATGCCGTCGTATAAATAATTGACCAAATGGCTGTCAAAAAATTCATTCGTCAGACTTGAAATTGAAAGCGAAATTTTTGCGAACGATTCACCCTAAAAAATCTAATATCAAATAAAAATACTTCTCTCAAATAAATAAACATTCGGCAAGTCTCCTTTTCTCTATTTCGTTTTAATAAAAAAAAAATAGTACTCCTACCCTAAAACGGCTGTCAGATATTAATAAAAATGATTTAATAAAAATCCAGCAACCAAAATCAGAGAAAAATATCTTCATCAAAAATACAAAACCCCTCACAAATATCTGATATTCTCACCATGAAAAACCATCCCTTCCAGAAGCCACTTCTCCAGACCCATCACTTCCAGGTACCCCGACAGCAACCTCTCGCCTCCCAAATGACCTTGAACAAACATCCACGACAATTACTGCCACCCACAAATATTCCAAATGCTTTAACCTAAGAAACTCTGGAATTCGTGGAATCGTGAGACAATGAATGGTCAATACAACAAGACGGTCATCCTGACCATCACATCAGCTGTAAGTCTCCACCTGGAGATGACTACCTGGATGTGGAGAGCCTAGAGAGGTAGATCCAATATTCTCAATACCAATCGTATATTTTTTTCCAAGTGTTCACTGGATGCACGAGGCGGAGTTGCCAGTTGTATCGGGGGCCATTGAATCCCACTGAAAGTCAGAAAGGGAAGGGACACAGTAAAAAGAGATAGCAATAGATAACATAAAAGCAAGCTTGCCATATGAGCAGAGTGGCCCAATGTTGGCGGACTTTCGGCTGTGACTCGGCATTCATTTTGCTGTAGTTCCTTGTAGTTCTGTTAGTCTGTCCACAGACGCGCTATCGTACGCACGTTGGAGACGCTGATTCAGCTGCAGTTTACATGCGTGATATAGGCAGTTAGATTCACTCCACAAGTTGCTATTATTAATTAAAATTATACCCTAAACGAAATTTCACTCATCATTTTACCCAATTGTCTTCATAACTATTTCCTTATTTCCACATTTCCCCATTTTCCTGTGTGATGATGATTTAATTCGTTGATTTAAAAAAAAATGTGCGTTTGCTCCGGAGTACTTGTCAAATTGACAGATTAACCCAACGTGTCTCAATATCGTACATTCGGTGTGAAAAAGTGAAGGCGTCGAAATATAAAGGCACAGTGGAATCACTCTCTGAATAGACAAGTTTTTGACTGTGGATTATAATTGGTGGGTATTCCATGGTTTCGTCATTTTATTTCAATGAGCATTGAATATTATTTTTTGATTTTTTGACCCTCGGTCTATACACACGCGCTCTTATTTTTACTCACTTCTTCAACCGTGAGAATTCACTTGGAAGTGATTTTTTTTTAGCTTGTATATCGTATTTATGCAGATGGATTAGTGTTTATTATGGATATGTCAATGAAGAAAATGGTGGGAAGGAGCGACCTCCAGGCTATAATGAAAAAACATTTTTTTTTTCCATCGAGACAATGATTGAAGAAAATGAACAATTGATTTTCCGATTGGAAATTTACTCGTCATTTCATTCACTTTCATTTAATTAAGGAGAATTTAATTGAATTGTACTCAATACTTTTTTATTTCATTCAATATTCAATTTTATTACTGAATCAAAAAATTGTTTTAAAAATAAACTAAAGGAGAATTCGTCATTGCTAGGAGGAACGTGTAGTAAATGCAATTGTCGTACGTTTTATTTCAAAATTTTGGTTTAAGTTGTGCACATTCAGATTTTCATATATTTTGGAGTAAATAAAATATTAAGGGGATATAATAAACTGTATAGATTCGATAGGAGAAGATTCCGTTTTCAAGTGGTGTTTAAATAAGGAGTACATGTCGAAAATAGATAGCAAGATGACCTGGGTTTCACTGTGGTTCACCTCCTGTTGAGTTGGCCGTCTTAGCTCAACATTTTCATACACGAAATTAGGGTATACATATATACTGTTATGTGCCCATTTTAAATTTCAAATATTTACTCCAGTTCTTTCCTTTCGCCAATCTCCATTCAAAAAATAGATGGATCACGTTGAGATTCTTTTTATTATTCATACTACCTCGACTTTTTCATTAAACAATAGCAAAACCTCGAGGTCGACCCTCGATATAAAATGTTTAAAAGAAAAACATGATTGAAATCAGACTAACTCGAAAAAATTATGTGTCTACCCTTGACTGCCCTTATTAAATCAACTTCTTGAGCAATTGTAATGCAATAAAAAAGTTTTATTATAGCCTCAACAATTCAATTTGCAATAGTCGTGAGAAATGCAAAATTGAGTTTTTCCTGTCCTGCGCCAACTTTTCCTTTCGTCATTGAATAACAAATTCGCCAGTATATACTCAGTACATATAACAAAATAGAATATCCAGTAGAAATTATAAACTTAACAGTACAGAAATGTATTTGCATTATCATTTCGATATAATAATATTTAAAATCAATATTTCGAGCTAAACAACTTGATAAATAAAAAAAATTCAGTCGTATTGCAATTTTTCTATTATTTCATTTACTTTCTTTCCAATAGATATCGTAAATTCAGACTGAATAATTCAGATAAAATGACCAGTCAGTATAGACTGGAGTCTATTGAATAAATGATTAATTATAGAAACAATTCAATCAGCGTGATAACTGACTCCATCAACATTTGTTCGTATGGAATAGTTTCTCTTTCCACTGTTTCATCACATTTTATATCATCAATAACCACATTTCATTATGTTTATTAATCTGACGATAATATTTTTCCATCGATAAACATACCAGCATTATGAAAATCATATTCTTCCATTTGAAATATTGAACTGGTTGATAGGGTCGAGGCGAGGTCTAACACAATCTATGAATCAGTGACACTCCATTCTTTCTAGAGCCTCATGGCACAATCAAAAAATGATAAACGATAAGAACATGCATTTAATTGAAAGTTGAAAATACCCGTACCATGTCAAGGGCGATAAACAATTAAATGACTCTCTGTTCATTACTTCTCCATTAGTTTCTCCAATACAATTTAAAAAAATGACAGATTATTTGATTATTCATCATCCCGTGATTTCATCACAGTTTCCGTTTCATTTCTCTATGTGGGGACGTTTGTTTAAATTAATGTATTACACCATATATATAATAAATCCTTATATACTGATTTCATCACAGAAATTAATTCAGTAATGGATGGATCTTCGGGATGAATTCAAATGGAGGTAATGAATAGGGAATAAATTTATGAACAAATATGGCCAGGGACTGGAATTTATCGTGTATTCGTTAATTATAATCTCACGTGGGAAACCTTGAGTTTGATGTACAAATTGCCTATAACTGCTCCTCCCAGGAAGAACTCGAATGCTTCCTTTATTTTCCTCTTTCCATTATTATTTTTTCGTTTGCAGACATTTACTGCTGATTCCTGAATGCACATCTACACAAAGAAGGGAAAAAAATCCGGAGAATGGATAAGGAAGAGAGTTGCTCTATTCCTAGGAATAATATGATACGAGGGAGAATTTATGCTTAAGTGGATATAATTACTCGTGTACTCAATTCCAACCATTTTTACGGATTGGTGAGTTATCAAAAATTAATTATACTTTTGGAGTTAAAAGTGACTTAATTAAATCATTGGAAAAAAATTACAATGGCTTCAACAAATCATGTCGAGTTAATGCTCATGTAAAAAATACATATCTAATGTACCAGATGTAATGAGAAATAAACGAGTTTTATACATGAGCATTTAATTCTCAAACCAGAGTCGAAACACGTGTTTTACGTTTATTGCCGAGTTATGATCGAACTGAAATATGTCTGGTGTCGGATATTCCCTCGATCTTCTGACTGTGGCATCATGATTTGTCGATATACATTCTCTATCTGGGCACTTCGCCATTCAGGGGGTACGATTCAAGTCATTCCTCACATATAATTTCTTCGTTTCCTCATTTTATCATCATAAAAAGTGCAATATTGTAAATAATAAATGTATCTGATGGGAATTCGCAATATTGTCAATAATAAATATATTTGATGGGAATTCGCGGGGGGAGGGGGGGGGGGTTAATCCCCGATTTACCGAAATGAAAAAAGTCACGGAATTAATTGATTTGTGAATTAATTAAAATCATAATTTTAATCCGGAATTCATCATGAATAGTTAAAGGTTTTTCGATTTTTCTTCAGGATCGCATAATTTATGAATGGATGGAGGAAAGACGGTATATATTGGAGGACGAAAGAAGATCGAAGATCTGGAACGTTTGGAAGACTGGCAGAGTACATCTGGAATAGCATTATGGAGTTTGATACTCCTTGGGGGCCTCATCCTGAATTCCACCCTGTTGTTGGCTTTCCTGAAGCGACCGGGTCTTCGGACAATATCCAACAGGTATGTCTGCGTCCGGTATGTATCGGACAAAGCTCGACGGTTTATTTACCGTAATTTCATTCGTAAAATGCACGTCACTGATCAAAGACCAATTACTCACCAGAAACCCCGGGCCGAGACTTTGACCCAAGTTTCAAGAGCTGATGAAAAAGGAATTTAATCTTGACCGTTTCGGCCCCTTCGAATAATTTTATATTATCTGCGAGCTAAAATTGTTGTCATCCAATGAAAAAATGGAATTTCCAATTATTAATCGGATTTTATTTAACACCGAAACATTATCAAATAATTTAAACAATAAATGAATGATTAAGGGGGAGTAACAAATGAATAATTAACAACGGGTGATTAATTTGAAATCATTAAATTAGTATTAGAAAGAAACATTGATATTACTTTATAAGAACGATTCACCTAATTTTCTTAACATTGAAGGAAATCTTTTTAAAAAAATTATTACTAACTCCTGGCGTCTCTCCAGAATCCTCAGAAACTCGTAAAATTACCACTGACTTGACGCGCAATAAAAATGACAGCAGTTTTCCGTTCTATTAAATTCGAATCATAAAACTGTCATCCCACGTTTTTGATTCTCGACTCTTGAACACGTACAGGGGCACAAAATATTCCAAACGTAATCAGTAAAAAATGCGTGATTTAAAACTCGCTCCCACATTTCGCATGAGTGATAAATACAACAATTGAGCTTCAATGAATTCCTGCATACATGTACTATTTTTTCTCCAACAAGTTGAATTCACCAACAGCGTAAAAAATACAGTATTACGACATTAAAAAATAGTATTAATCAAGCCGCCACTGTAATCATTGAGTTATAAATCAGTTGACGCCCCAAACTCGCGTGTTTTCAGGCGTAGAAAAAAAAAATTGTTGATAAGGCTTGATCTCCGTTATTGTTCCGTTGTCGCCAATCCCTGTAACTTCGCTTCCGATATTTATATAGGCACCAGCCGTGGCGCTTCACCTGACAAGATTACTAAGTTTGTCAACATAAAGACGAGATTCATCACATACGAGTTGAAATCTAAAATTAGATGATCCAAGAGAGTCGAGAGATAGATGAGACAAAATTAATATGAATGCGTATTTTCCCCAGTCACGCCGCGCTGTCAATCCATCAACGCGAATAATCATTCATCATTATAAATTCTCCCGACTACCAATGATAATAACCCTAATTAATTATTTGTATTATCAAAGAGCTTCATTATCTCTAATTACGATTTAATTATCTGTATTTACATGACTATTTCGAGGCTTACGTTGATCAATTATTTTTTCAGATTTGTGATGAATTTGACAATCTCGAATGTCATCACTTGTTGCGTTTTAAATATTTTGCTGATGCTGGATGGACCGGTTTCACATTCCAAGCCGTGCATGTGCGCTGTTGCAGAAGGTGCAACAGCTCTCGTGACAACCTCATCAGTATTCTCAGTGCTGCTAATTGCTTTGGATCAATACTTGGCGGTAGTCGACCCTCTGCGCTATCGCACACGTATCGATACCTTGAAATGTGGAATCCTAGTGGCTTCAGTCTGGATAATATCATTGACATTGAGTCTAATAGCAGCACTAAATCCAAATCCAAAAAGTATCTGGCTAACGTGTCAGCCTTCAGTTAATTCAGTCGCTCTGAATTCGAGTGAAAAAATTGACGAAACCCGTAGCATTGATCAACAGATAAACGTTGACGAATCAAATATTTCCATGACATATGGCCTTATTTACACACTAGCATTCAGTCTATTTGGTTATTTATTACCGTTCGTTGGGGTTTGTTGGATTTATATACGAATATATACGGCAGCGCACAACAATTCAAAAAGAACTCGACGAACTGGTTCCCGGCCAATATTGTCAACGGGAAGTTTCAGCGATGAGTACTATCCAGTACGTCAGGATCTATCGCACGAAGATTTCCGTAGAATAACAAAAATATCGAGTCTCTCGTCTATCGATGAAAGTACGGAGAGCTCACCTAGTCACATACCGAGACGTTTCTCTGAATTTGGTAACCATCCGTCACCCATTCAGGAGGAACCATCGACAGTCATATTCACTGTTGGCTCTAAAAAAGTTGACGTTACAGGTCGTCAGTCGAATGATGATGATACCAAAGAACCCAACAGGAGAGTTCCCATTTCCGTATTGAGAGCGCAATTTTTAAACAAGAGAAATGATGAGAATACTGACGAGTCTCTTGTGAAGAGCAAATTTCAAGATGGGCCTGAGCAACAGCGTAAATCATCTCATGATCTCATGTGCGAAGAAATTATGAAGAGGGATTTAGAGATGTTTAGGTTGGGGCATTTTAATGCACAGAGTGACAGCAGTGATGGTGATTATGAGGAGGATGAGGAACGTGGAGTTATTTTTGAGAATATTCTCGATGTGAAAGGGAGTACGCCACGTGTTCAAGACGAGAATCTTATTGAAGGCAATTCGCCAAACGTCCATCATTCTTCATTGATAAAGAACAATGACTCTATGAATATTCAAACAGCCGCTCAGAAAAATGTTAAAAATACGACATCATTACCGGCATGTGATCCACGTCAAATCTCCAAGAATAAATCTCAACCGGTGAATGTTAAACAGAGAGATGACAGCATTCACGAGGATCAGGCGTATTCGAAACTTTCGTTGGGGAATTTAGAGGCGAATTGCATCGTCAATCCCACGCCAATCGTGACAATTACTCCTCCTCACCGGCCATCTTTGCATCGTGTCTCCAGTACAAAAAGTACAAGCAGTTACATCAACTCCTTGAAGTACAGAATAAGCAATGGCTCATTATTCAAGTACAGAGAAGAAACAAGAGCAGCTAGAGTGAGTGCTTTTGTGATTGTCATGAGTCTTATCTGTTGGACTCCCTATTTTATTGTCTTGATATTGAAAAACTTGCCATGCTATTTGGTTGATTATGTACCACATGAAATCGACATTGTAGCTATTAATCTTTTCATTTCAACGGCTTACATCAGTCCCATGCTTTTTGGATATCGATCCAAAAGAGTTAAGAGAGAACTGCAGAAATTATTCTGCTTCAGGCGAGAGCTGTCTTATCAGAATAATCGCTCGTTGATGGCTAAGAAGGTTTTGAAGAGAAGACACAGTGGGAATCTATCCAATTTCGAAGTCGATAATAAATGCAATATATTTCATTGTGTTTATGGAAAAAACAAATGGCCAAAGGAGAAAGTACAGTTCATACAGGTACCAGAGACGGCTCTCATTGTTGAGACCTGCAGGAGCAGTTTTTCAAGTGGTGCTAGTACGCAAGTGTCGAGTACTTCTACTGATGATTGCTGAGAAATTTCATTTAAGCCAATGAATTGCAGCCCGGAGGTGAACTATTTTTAAATAATCTGTACCCATCTGTTTCGGCTTCAGTTTATTCAGCAGTTCGACTCTCTGATTGCATGTCTTCCGAATGTTAGAGAAATCTTTGGAAGATGAAATAGTTTAATTGTGTAATGCTCTCAATCAGAATTTCATGAACAAAGATTATCTCACTCTCAAGATACAGCAATAGTATTAAATCGATGACTACTCTCAACACTAGTCTTATCTATGACAAATCTTTAATTATCGCCATTCTTTCATTTTTATATCTGTAAAAATAAGATGAATATGAATAGTGTGTGTTTATTATTAGCGAACATTATTTTTAATCGTCACCAATGAATACATTAAATTATAAAATATGTCGTCAATGAAGGCAGGGGATGTAAATATTTTTGCTAATGCTCTTCCGAATTCAACTTATTTTTATTCATTCTGTACATGATCATATTTACATACAGTAGACTCCCGTTACAGCCGCGTGCATAGGAATGTAGCAAAAACTAATTCGGAGAGTTCAATTATATAATACGAGAAATTTATTTTTCGGCTTTGTTTTGCCCGGAATTTAATTCCTCACCGGATGATACAATTGATTGTTTACATGACCCGGATTCGAATCGTAGCTGGGACTATCGGCATTTTTTTCTCTCGAAATTCTCGCTTTATTTGAATTTTCGGAGTGTAGAGTGGGAAAACCGATACGTGAACGAAGGAATTGAGAAATGTTGCGACTGTGAGGGATTCTACTGTAGTCTAATGGAAATCAAGATCTCAGGATTTGTCTCTCATCTTCCAAGTGTCTTTGTATATTACAAATTCAATATCCGGGTTATTTATATTAAATAACATGTAAATATTGCGAGAAAAGAGCAGACAGGTAGATTTGAAAACATGAATAGATAGCGATATGAATTTTTGGCATCCACTGTGCCAAAGTTTTTTGTACTATCAACAATCGTCAGATGAAAAAGGGTTTTATGGTCACCAGCATCAATCTGTACTCACATTATAATTATAACAATTATTATAATTCCTCCAACAATTGCATTTGGGAAATGGTTGAATTATCGGATGTAATTCATTGTTTTATCAAATTATAAACATCAAGTACAGCTCGATGCAACTTGTCCCATGATCATCTGACTGATCGTTATCTTCCGACGAATAAATTTTGATTTTCGATACAGTCAGTGTTGTTTCGTTTTTTTTTTCATCGATTCACTTCGAAACCAATGAATGATGACCTCAAAGATTAATAAGAATTTAACGATGGTATCCCACAATCCCGCACTCATTTACACCACGAGACTTTTGATATAAAAAAATGAAAACACTTTTTATTGATTAATGAGAATAATGACAGAATTATAGTCTCGAGTGGTCAGGATTGTGTGGCCTGCTGGGGAGCCTGGGCAGTTCCAGAGTGCTGCCATCATCGTGGGTGAACGTCCTGTTGTCATGACCATCTTCAGGGGTGATTTCAGGCTGGCCCTGCATCTCAGCAGGACCACTCATGAAGAACATCGTCAATAAAAACATGATGGAGCCTTAAAAAAGTGCAAATTGCATTAACAGAACACCATTTTCCCTTTGATTATCATTTGTAATAGATCTACATACTTATTCCGTAAAATCCAGCGTACAACACATAGAGACTCTCCCGAAAACCTATAACTCTTCTCAAAGGCTCCACAAGAATGGGCAGGTTGCCTCCAATATTGTTCATCACAAATAAAAAGACGCCAACTGTTGTTGAGCGCATACTGAGGGGAACAATTTCCACGACAATAGCGAATACTATTCCAAACCACATCTCGGCTGTAACAATAATTTCAACACTCTAAATTCTCTATTATAATTGAATTTATGGCATAATAATGTGAATAATAATAATCACCGAAGAAATACGATATTCCAAGGGTAATAATAGCTCCCAGTGGTTCTAAAGCCACAGATCCAAAGGCGAATGGAGTGGCTATCAGTTGGCTAATAGCAAGGCAAGCCACTCTGGACCTTATTCCCATTTTTGCTACGAATTTATCACTTATTATTCCACCAACCACAACACCAATGCTGCCAATAACAATTGTCACTGCGAATAACCACCAGCTGAGATCATAATCGGGAAAATAGTCTCTGTAGTAAAGATCACAGTTGTAGGCGAAGCACATTCCACCTAGAATTATTTTATCAATTATTTTTAACCCCCAACTAATAATTATTTGATAAATTAACTGACCACAGTGTCTGATACTCGCTGCGAGACAGAGTAAAATCATTCTGGGGTGGAATAAAACTTTCCAAATTGATAATTTCTTTCCATCACTTCTAGTTGTATCGCCACTTGTCGATTTTCGAGGTGGTTCTACCAGAGTTAATCCTGTGAGAATGGCAATGATAATTCCTATGATTCCAGCACCATAATAACATGCTCTCCAACCCTGAGGTTCGTCGAAATAAAATATCATTTTAGATTTTGAATTATTGTGGTGCTTTTATAATGCTAATTGCGTTGCGTACCAAGTTCCAGAGGTTCATTGCTGGTATGTATCTGCCAATGGGAAATGCAATGCCATAACCACCGTATATTCCCCAGTTGAAAATAGACATGACTAGCCCACGTTGCTCTTCATCAAACCAATCGGACAGCAGACCAGTGGCTAGTGGATTGCAGCCAGCCTCTCTGAACAATATTATAAACAATATTCCTTGAATATTATAAACATTACACTCGTGGACAGAGGATTACAGAGATTTACATACCCTGCAGCTAAAACCATCCGGAGAATCACCAATTGCCAGTACTCTTTCACTGTACCCATCAATATTATCGCGATACTAAAGATTAATGTACAAACAGCAAGGGTTCTTACTCTGGAACAACAACACATTATTTCCTTTATTTTTTAACTGGATAATTAATTTTTTATGTAGATATATACCTGTTATATCGGTCGGCAACAATTCCAAGGATTACACCGACGATTGTAAAAACAGCTATGAAACTGGGTCCAGCTAAAATTTGATAGTCCAATCCGAGACCATTGTAATTCCACTCGCAATAACCAGTGCCATTTATTTCTAATGATAAGCAGCTGGAGAAATGGTAGTTAATTAATTTTTTTTTTATCAATTAGAGATGGATTGATTATGACAGAGTGAAATACTCACTAATCTGAATTGTTTGCTGCTTCGCATTGCACTGGAAGCTCAACAATTGAATACTCTGATGTGTTTAATTGACAGGAAATTTCACCGTAATGCAAGTCCTCCGCTGTTGCTTTACTCGTGACACCTGGAATTAACAAGAATGCACATCATTTGTTGAAGTTCACTGAGTTTTTTTTGAATTGACGAATTCGTCATTGAATTGAAATTGCTTGAGGGAATATTGCGCAAGAGCGAATTACCAATCATATAGTGTCCCAATTCTCCTAATACATATCCAACTGACACTATTGCCAAGGCATATGGCTTGTAGAGAAATTTCAGCTTTTGTACAACACTGTTGATCATTTTTTATCTGAAACGGAAATTCAAATTGTCAAGATGAAAAATTAGGTGGAATTCCAGATTAAAATCGAAAAACCATTCGATTATTGAATTTAAACGTGATTCAATCTTTCTCTCTGCCTCAAGGCCTCAAACACGCCTCCGTTTGTCACATCATTCATACATACCTTTCACTGATTTTAATAAAAAGTTAATGTTGTTCCGTCATAATAATCAGGTGCGCAGAAATCACATGAATTAAAAATTCTAATGACCTTTACCAGCAGATCGCTGTTTTCATGATAATTATTTATGTGTGAATGTATGAAATTTATATATATATCATATAAAAAAAAAAGAAATGAAGATATTATTTATTGAAATTGAAATAATTGACATTAAAATTATTTTAAATGTCCGTAGCATTCTCAATAATCCTCAATAATCTCCCCAAGTCTTTTTTAAATATTTAATGTCTAGAATTATGGAAGAACTATATTTATAAGAAGTCCACATTTACATGGCGTCAATTACTGCCTATGCCATTGTCTAGAACTGCTGATGCGGCAAAAAGTTACTATGGTAAGAAAAAAAATCATCAACTTGACGAGTAGCACATGATTCTTCCAGATACTTCATCTATGTCACAGACGACGGACATTTATTTCCGCCAGTGTCACTTCTTACGAATTTTGATAAATCAATAATGAATTACACCTCAATAAATGGTCAGCGATTTTTATCTGGCTTCTTAAGTGATTCATTCTGATAGGGAAGAATCCCAATAAGATCCGTCTGTGATACGTCATTGATTATTCATTGAGTGCATACTGAACTGTATGAATAAAAAATCCTCGACTGCATAAATTCGATTGAGAACTAGCACTTGAAACGCGGAATCTAAAAAAAAATGCAAGATAAAAAAAACTGAATTACGTGGAAATCCGAGTATTGATGAGGTCCATCAATGTTATATAATAACGAATACCGTTGTTCAATGTACCGATCAGGAATTAGCATGATCGGCTAATAGAGATGAATGCATTAATTGCAATAATCTAAATTTTCATTGCAAACCGGAATAACTTCGAAGTCTAATTTAAATATTTTTCCTCCTCCATTCCTCCAATTTCCACTATATCCCGAACAAAAAAAAAGTGATTTAACAAATGCGCCTGTCAGAACATGACATAAGATTTACTGGAAATGAATTTCCATCCTGAAGTGTCAGATGACAAAAAAAAAATGTTGTTTGCGAAGTGAGCAATTGCATATTGCATTACTGATTTGGATAATCACGAGAAAGTAGTTTTTCTGCGTTTCAAGTTCACTTGTGGATTGTATGAAGATAACAAACAATTAAAATAACTAGAGAAAGATGTTATCTCGGTGCACATGTACATCAATTAATTCAAGGCTCGAGGATGCGCTTCCACGATAATTAACGAACTAATTATTTTGCGATAAATGAAGCATGTGTGTCACCTTGATGTTGAATATCCACCGATTTATAATTGAGACTTTGACTTTGACCATATAAATAATTATTGCAGGAGCATATGGTATGGTAGTTGAAGAAACTACTTCAAGGATTGTTAAGTACAGTACGTCAACTCATTGTTGTCTAAATAGAGGGGTGAGAGATAATTCGAATGTGAAGTTGTCGTGTTATACATGTTGGGAATGTGCCTTGAGCCAGAATCGGTCAAACAGAACCAGAAATTATAGCAATAATTATATTAATTCCATTTACTCAGAGGAGTATGTAACAGTTATTTCACAGCTTTCAATCTCATCTCGACGTTCATGTCTCGTTACTTTATTAATCACCCAGACATTGTCACAGGTGATTATTGATGGAATCAATTTTGCATTATCAGCACGCAATGTCTCTCGTTTATGTCAATCAGTTCTGAGTGATCGTCAAGTGTTGAGAATCATCTGCAGCTTCGGAGACATAAATCAAGACCGAATGGGAAAATATTAAAAGTGAAAGGGTGATGATACCCGGAAAAGTGACTAACAATATCGGATGTAATTGACTTTTTTTATCCCTCAATAAAACTATAGAAAAAATAAAAATAAATAAGTGATCATTTGAGGCTCAAGTTATGGCATGCCTTGTGCGATGCACGCGCTCTTTAATTGTCATGGCATTGATGAAGAATACTCGTTGCAACAAATGCCGTTGTTGAAATTATGGAGAACGGAAATAAAAATGAAGCTGAACAAATTCGTAGAAATTCTGAGATGCAACACCGTTCATTATTCTCGTCGCAATAATTCCGTTTTCATTACCTTATTTTCAATTTTTCTCCGTTTTAAAAATTCTTTTTCGAGAGGCATAAATTACGAGTGATATAATCATTTATTCATTGTTTAAGTTTTCTGCGAACGTCAGGCAATTGAATTTTCTTAAAAATATGAAATGGGTGGCAATTATTTAAATTAATTATTGGAAATTGATATTAAATATGATCAATAATCAATGAGACAAATGAACTTTTAATTATTATAATAACTGTTTTCAGTTTAAAAAATTACTTGACAATTTTTTTTCCAGAAATATCAAATGTAATAATTCCATATTTATCTCCATATTTATCCCCATATTTATTTAATTTAATTCCATTTAATTTTTTTCCAAATGCCAGGGAATTATCAAAGAAATGATGAAATATTTTAATCAACAGAGATACCTGTTTGTGATATATCGGACAATGATATTCGTAGAGATGCACAGGTAATTATTAAGAGAGATGAGATTTTAATTGCAAGTTTGAGAGAGTAGTTTCGGCCAAGGTCTAGGCGGGAATGTTGATTACTCGGAGTTATGACGACTTGACGATCCGGATTGGCCATGGGAGAAAAACGTGCCCCTCATAATATACAGGGGCATATATCCTATTGACACATCAAGTACAGAGGGGCGTAAGTAACGCGGATCTATTTACCATAAACGCCCCTCTGTTACCAATCCCTCGATATCACGAGCGATTCATATCCAAGTGCTCAGTCGTGCAGAACAAAACTCAAGATAAACTCATTTACATATATTGATTCAGTCTGTCGATGCAACACGTGCAATTATTATTCACCGTTTCAATTATCTACATTCACTTTTTATCACATCAGAATTTTAGCAACTCATTGATTAAAAATTCAATTCCACAAAAATAAAAAATCAGAAACAGTAAAAACCCGAGGGAAAAAATCAGCGATCGATAGATCAAGTTTGGCACGTGTCCTTTCGACATTTTTCCCGATTTTTAAAGACATTAATTAATTCATTACTTACGTCAATTAATGACTTCGGGAGTAAATTAAAAATCACAGTAACAAGTGGTTTTCCTCCAGGAGTCCCAAGCCCTTTATCCCCAAAGGGCATGTATCACTTATTTTAATTTATATTAGTAAGAACCGCACGGTTATTTTTTTTAATGATAAAATTAAAATAGAAATTTGCACTGGGAACCCTATCGACACGAGGGATGTACGATAAAGTGGAACTCGAGACTATGTGGAACCTTCATTTATAAGAAAGTTCCAAGGATTAGACCTCCTTAGATTGCGTATGAATGCAAGTAAGGAAGGGGGAAATACTAGTGTATTGGAAGACTGTAGTCACTCGAATAGTATCTTGTGGGTTTGGAGAGTAGTTATACCCGTATCCCATCGAAGATCTCAGCAGGGATACAAATACACTCCATGACTCCAAGGTCACTTCCACCATCCACAGAACTCATGGAATTTTCATCAAAGATAATCAACAATCATTATCATTATCGTTATCTCAATTTTCCACACAGGAATTCACTCTGAATTAGTAAATCAGTAATTTTCTGTTGCTGTAATCATCAGTAATCCGATACCCGATTTACAACTAATTTTTTTAATTGGTTACGAGAGAAGGAGATGATGTTAACAAAAACAATTGAATAATTCCTTGAAAATTAATGATAAAACCAAATATAAAATACAACAATTAAAAGTGTAATTAAATGTATATTGTTGGAGACACCATTAAAAGGTAAATACCGACGAATATGGATTGAACTAGAGATCTAACAACAAGTTAATAATTTAAGACACAAGATATAGTACACGTTTTTTTATACTTGTTTTTTATAAATTTAAATACTTGTTGCCGTTAATAAAAATATTTTTAAACAAAAAAATGATTAATTGATAGCTCGAATGCCGACCGATGAGACGACCTGTACCTGTCCAAAGGCTCCTCATGGTGCGCCAGGTCATCAGGTCATCAAGTCCTCAGGTCCTCAGGTCCCCAGGTCCCCAGGCCCCCCTGGGGTTTATCAATGCAGTCATTGGAGTAGGGTGGGGAGGGAAAGGGAGGGGTGATGAAACACTCGTAAAAACCCAAAAAAGTATTTAATAACGAAAAAAACTTGAAAATTATTATATTACATAAGGATAATGGCCTCTTGAGTACTTGAAGACAGAATTACTTAATCAATTCACGGAAGAAGAGATCGCCTGGTCCACTGTCATGGAAATCCACAACCGATCCAGTGGAACCGTTCCGCATTGTTCATTCAATGATATTTAATAAAAAACCATTTTTTTATCTCTCAAAAATAATGCGTTAATCAGGTGATTAGGTAAGTATCCGCATCATTTCCTCCATTTTGGCCGTGAAGATGACAGTTAATTTGTATTAATTCGTGAATGCTCATTTCCTGTCTTCTCCCATCCTTCAAGAGACTGTTGAGAGAGAATTTATAATAGCAGATTCTTCTAACAACCGTTGAAAGAATGATGAAAATTATCATGCTGATATCAATCTTTCCGTTAAGATCTTCGTTTTTGTGGAGGCATTTTAATTGGCTGATATCAATTATACGAACACACCAGAGCTACGAAAAATTAGGTAATGAACTGGGTTCAAACATGATGAATTAATTATTATAATAATTGGACGTTTTCGCAATGAATTCGACGCAACAAATTGTACCATTATATTAAATACCATATAATATATTATATCATATTAATATATCAAGATAGTATTTTAATTACACGTTTGTTTGACTGGAGAGATTTTAGAGAATCCCAATTTTCGATTTGATGTAACAAATGATTATTTTATTTTTATATTGGAATCCATAAAAATCGACGGATTTCGATGAATCAGTTATGATTGTTTAGGAATTATTTTCTTTTTTGGTGACAGAAATATGATGTAAGTGAAGGCTCTGTGTACGCACTCTCACATCTATCGACCCACTAGGAACAGAGAATAGTGGAAGGGAGATGTGTCTTCTCAAATGAACACGGTGGTTCGATGGTGGATACCCCGTGTCTGATTGATCATTCGTTAAAGCTCATGAATCTCAGCAAATAATTCTCAGTATCCAACCTTATCTCACTCTAATACTCCTGAATGAATCGTACGTGAGTGAACGACTCGTTATCAGTGTGGGATTAATTGGGGAATATGGTGGAAGATATTCAACAGTTCAAAAATTTTTTCATGTATTTATTCTAATCCGAGAAGTGATAAATTTTCATTCGCACCATAAACTTGAGGAGAATCTTCATAATAACATCAAGATGAAAATTGTTTAAAGGTTTTTTTACGAAATCGCGGAGGTACGTTATTTATTTATTCTAGTTATTAATTTGTTCATTTATTTACACGCATTTTACGTCTTTATTTGTAATTTGGATAGAGCAATATAAATATTCTTTTGTGGATCTATAACACGAGTTGTATCCTCAGAGGATAATTAATTCTAGTGAATACTTTTTTTTTCTGAATTGAGCGTGAACTCACGATAATTAACATAACATAACAAAAGTCTTATAAATAATATTACGACTTTTGGAATTATGACAACATTATGTGCACATAGTGATGATAATTTAAATATAAAATACACGGAGAAAAAAAATTATTTCTGTCAAATAAATTTGTTTGACACCCCGAAGACAGACAAATTCAATCAATTACTCTCAATCCTCAATTACTCACTTCAATCATCATGAAAAATAATTTAATTCCTGTAAATTTTCGTGTAATTAATAAATTCATTGGTCAAAATCAATGATTTCCCCCGAATTCATAATAAAAGAGAATACGCCCACGCGAAATTCACTCCGCAATCCTGTCCAGTACACAAATAATTTTTTCCTGCAAACGCATAATTTTTTCATGAACCGTTTATTTATAGTAATACGCATAATAATTAATAAAAATGGAGTTTCCGCCGAGTGAAGTAATAAATCAGAGACTGAGACAATTGTTCATCCATCTGGTTTCAATTATGCATGTATCACAGTATCTCGTGTACTTTATGAATATTACGTAAAACAAAACGACTGAGATATATAGCGAGATGAATAATATCATTATAATAAGACATGATCGCATAGCATGGTCCGATAATTCACCACCGCCATTATATGTGGGATGAATTTTTTGTTAACTCGTTGAAAAAAAAATTTTTTACTCCAATCCTTCACAATCCTTCACAATCCTCCGCCTTGGTGAAGGTGTGTATAATGAAGTTCGTATGCATTCTAACAGGTTTATTGGTTTTTGTATCGCAAATCGGAGGCTCGACTGCACTTAATTCTTATTATTGAATATTCATAAATAACTCGTGTAAAATCGAACTTCCGTGTGCAGATGTTATTATTGTCAAGGCAATAAAGACGCCTCCATTCATCAGATTCAATCGTATCATCCAATAAAAACACGAGAGCAATTAAACAGTAGTTATTCATTAATCTGAATAATTGTTATTGGTCATTACAGAATGAGAGCACTAGGGGGAGGAGTAATTATGCTGGTGAGTGCCGCAGGGACAAGTAGTCTCTCGCGAACACTCGTAGCGAGAGATGCATCGGGATATCTTCGAAATTGAAACTGAAATTGATATTGATGACTGAAAAAAAATAATTGACCAGCCAATAACGGAGGGGTGGAAATTCAATTGATAAAAATTCGTTTGAATTGTTGGATTGATAATTAAACGATGGGCTCGTTACCGAATCTACATGAGCTTGCCAGAGGCAAACTCGATAGTCCGGTCCACAGACCAGCACCAATTGGTGGTTTTGGACCCATTAAATTACCACCACAACCACCTCTATTGGCACATACTAATCGTCGGGTACGAAGTAGTGGCCATCATCACGCACTTTGGCATGACAACGATGCTATTCTAGAGGTAGCATTAACTCTTACAATAAATCAATATTGATATTTAACACGAGAGCGCAAATGACTCTGCGTATTTTACTCCTTTTTCCCTCCCCTCGCGCTTCAATATTTTATTTTGTTAGTTTTTCTCCAACCACGCGTCCATAACTCGAACAGTTTATGAATAATTTGCATAATAATCATTAAAATTCAATGACTTGCGGACATTTAGCAGTTTTCAGCAAACATTTTTTTTGTGCTCTAGAAAATTACGGTTTTTATCATCATAAAAATATGTATAATGTATAGACTTCACTTATTGAATTCCCCCATTCAGATAATTAATATTAATAATATTGATTAATTTAATTTCATTGATTATTATATTTATTAATTGTTTTATATTTTTTAAAGACAATTTTATTAAAAATTTCTCAGAAAGTCTGTGAAAAATTCGAAGAGAATTATCAGTGATGGGTAATTCGTAGATTTATTTTCATTGTGACATTTTGACGTCTGATGATTTTCAGCACATGACAACTTATTCACCGATATCTTGTCGTTCCGCCCGAGCGTCGGCTCTATCCTGTCGTCGACGTGAATCGATGACATCTTCAGCGGGTACTTCATCAGTCCGACGTTTAATAGCAGCTGTGCGTACAACACCATCTGGTCCACGACCACCTCGTAAGGTGATCCTCCGTCACTGTGCAGCCCTTCTGCTAGGCCACATGACAATATCCGCAGCAAGTCTGCCAATATTTCCCCTTCAGGCAGGTCTAGGTGCCTTCAATTCACATCTTGGTCCTCTCCTTCTGGCACTACTATACGCCATCGCTGCGATTACATCATGCTTCGCCACAATAATCGTACAAAAAATCGGTACAAACCTCATCACCAGCATCAGTCATCTCGTTACAACAATATTCGTTGGCACTCACTTATTTCCAAAGTGGTATCTCCTCCTGCCAAGTTATACATTACTTGGAATATTTGCGACACCAACATTCATCGCTAGAACAGCTCATGTCAACGTGACAGCTACCAATCTTACGATTGTTTGTACCGATCCTGAGGATTCCGATGAAAATAGAAGGGACTGCATTCTACGAAGACTCAACAGAGGAATGAAACTCGCTGAAGACATGGGTCTAGCCTTGGGCAAGTCGTCTAATAAAACATATCCATATTTATTTAAACAAATTATTGAATAAATTCTTTCTCCCAGGTTTTCACCTGCATTGAAATTATAGAAAGTCTTGAAATTGTTTGTTTATCAGGTTGCCTAATAGCTGTTGTAATTGTTAAGATGATCGATCCCCCACCAACGAATTATCTAGAAGACGATGTTGAAGACACATGCGGTGCAGAATACTGCCCTCAAGAGACATATCTCTACAATGAGACTCTAATCGTACCACCAATTCCAACAAATCCAGCTAAAATTCTCATCAGCCTATTACTCGGTTTGGCAATATTGGCGTTTGGCATTTCCTGTGCGTTCCTCGATTCGAGAATGAAAGAGCCGACGATTGGAAGTGAACGTTTGAGTTTATCGTCACACTTTAAATCGATAAAACAGTCTTTTCAAGATCCAAAACTGCAACTAGCTGCTCCACTTACACTCTTTATTGGACTCGAGCAAGGATTTATAATGGGTGATTTCACTGAGGTAATTTGCACCACTGATTTCCTGATAATTAAGAAACATCCATTTACGGTTTAAATGATTGCATTGAAATATTCCCAACTGAAGTGAACAAACACTAAACATTTATTATCATTGAGAATAATAAGAATAAATGTTTTAACAATATTACAAAAAAGGCAAACCTAATGAATGAGTGGAAGAGAATAAAATAAAATAATTTATTCGTCAGGCTTATGTGGTATGTGCTCTGGGAGGTGCATCAACCGTGGGCCTAAGCTTCTTAAGTTTTGCATTACTCCAGGCAGTAGCAGGTGTAACACTATCAATGCTCCTGCGACACATAAGGCGTTACTTCGTTGTGGGTAAGTACACAGTGAGAATAGATAAAGACATGTATACAAATTTCCGCTCGATTTACCTTCCCTGTTTCTCGTGCAAGCTTCAATTCCCTAGTGTCCTTCATATCAGACATACAAGAGCGATAAAATCAGAGATATTGACATTGTAATTTGTAAGTATTGTGAAGGCTCTTGGTACTTACAGCTGTTGGATTTGCCTTTCACGCCTGCCTCCTCCTGGCACTGATCACTTGGCGACCAGCTGGCGACGATCCAGCACTCTTCAACGTCATATCCGCTGCTTGGGGTGTCTGCAATGCTATTTGGGAGACACTTATTTACAGTAAGTCTCATCGATTAATTTATGATAATGATTTATTAATCAATTGTGGTGATTAGCTCTTCTCCTGGGATTATATCCGGCTTCCTGGCAGGGACCTCTCTCTACCTCACTATTCTGGAAATGGCTTGGTCTTTTCTTGGCCCTTGGCCTTCATGGTCTTGTATGCACTCGTCTTCGAGTACTGGGTCTTGCTAGTATGCTACTTCTGTCAGTGGTACCTTACACGTGGCTAGAGATTCGTCTTGCCAAACGTGGAAAGTGTCTGGCACCTTTGTGACCAGCTCGTGATCGTGACAGCAAAGATGGTGCTATTGTAAAAGCTAATCAGATGAGTCATATGCAATGAGATAGGCGTGTTCCATCCAGCTCGAGGCTCTACCACAGCCAATTGTCTGGTGTACGTCATGGAAGAAGACGCAGTAGTGGGGCTAATACTGGAATATTTGTTTGTTACTCCAGAACATCTCAGAGCTCATGCTGCGATCCTAATTCTAACACTTTCAAAACAATCGACTTGTCGTGAGATGATTTATTATTTTTATCGACTGGATTATTATTTTTTTGACAGTTATGTAGAGTCTCGTGGATGGAACATCGTTGAGGTGCAATTGAATTGTTTGTAATGTTATTGATATTATAGCCAGTTGAATTGGTGGTGAATATATCATTGTACAACGCTGAATACTTTGGAAACTATGAGCTTTCCTTTTTATATTGAATGTATGTTAAGACAATCTTGTCAGAGATTATTATGTACTAGAAGGTTGTGAACGAGCATGTGTTGACAGGAATGAAATTACGAGGTCAATATTTCTCCGAAAGGAAATTCTTGCTGTATCTTCACTGTCTTATGATACTCAATGTTTGCAAAAAAATTAGCCACTGGTAGACGTTAATTCTTCCATGTTCCATTTTCTCTTCATAATCAATCCTTTTGCATTTCTGTGATGTTACAAAAGTGTTTTTTGCTGGAGAGATATTCGCGATCGAGAGAAAATTGGGTAGAACACTCATACTCCAAGCTTCGGACACTGCCGCATTAAATTACGATTACGATTGTAAAATTTTCATTGGTTGATTAATTGGAGATTGAGGGGAAAATTAATAAACTCATTTTGTAACAAATGCGTGGAGTAGGGGATTATGAAATAGTGGAATAAATTTAAATATGTGATGCAATTGACAAAAATTAAGAAAAATTTTAATATCAATCAATCTGCTCCGAGTGATTTTATAGATTATTCAGAAAAAGAAAATGTTGGCACGTGTTGTTAGTGAGAGAAAATTAACAGTTCAATTTCATTAATGAGAGTCAGACGGACCGACTCAATTGATCATTATTTTTCTCTTGCGCCAACCAAAGGTGAGAAATAACCGTTATTTTCACATATCAATGATTTCAGGACTCGTAAAATCTCTCCAATTATATCCTGAATATCGACTCTTTATAGCAATAAAGAATATATAGTTTGTCTTTTCAATTACAACACGGCACTTGTATAAATAATTCCAAACAATTAAACATGAAACCATTAAAAGTACTGCACTGAATAAGGCGTTATTATAAAGAAATGAAAAATAAGTATTATTTATAATCAATTGTTTAAAAGTATTTTCACCTGAGGTGACTTTTTTTACTATTCCATACCTCTCTAAAAATAGTATTTGTAAATATGTTTCTCCTACAAAATATAATTGTTTTCTCGATTCAAAAAATTTATCATCATGGTTTGTAAAAATCCTCAATAAGTGAATGTCATATTGTCATGTTATAAATTATGGTAATTTTTTAATCTTCATTTTCGTTACTATTTATTCTACAGTGGAGTGTTAAATACCGGCGAATCTTTCCCATGAGGAACTGAGAGGGAAATCGAAATTGTCACATTAATTTCCCTTTAAAATTCTCGGAATTGTGGCGCGAAGTGGGGGCTCCATTCAAGTACCCGTTTATTGCGAATTAGATGAGTTTACTTCCTCGAGCACTCGAGTAGTTATCGTGAGTCCTCTGTAGGTATTTATAATTCAGACGATTTCCCAATTTTCCACTACTAGCGTATCTTACACTTCTGGATGTTATCTTTTGATACAAAAAAAAATTCAATGATTCATTTGAATATTTGTTTCTTCCAGGGCCTTGGGAAAGATTGGGAGATATTTTTAGTTAATTTTCATGACCGAATTGATATTCAAATTATTTTTTTTTATGAGATTTAACGAAGAAAAAATATATTCTCGTTTCTATAATGTATATTGGATTCGCCGATACGTCCGGGAATTGAACATCAATTTTTCCTTCACATGATTTTTATAATTTATTGACAAAAGCTATGTATAATACAAGAAAAAAATTATGAACACAACTTATACATAGTCTTCTATACATAGTCTTTTATTTCCCGAGATTTTTCTGGGACTAAAACATTTATTAACATTTTTTTAAATGACAAAAATCGCTGCAAAACTTTATCATCCTGATTTTTTCGTCTATTCTGTACTATTCATTAAATATGAAAGTCATTCCCTGTCGAAGATAACGACTAGATTCTTAAATATCCCTGGTGTGCACCAGTGGATCAAAAAATTCGATCGTTAATAAAAATAAATTAATGAGACGGAAATACAAAGAAATGCGATTGAAATGAAATTATTTTTTCTAGATAATCGTTCCACATTTAGCTCTCGGTTTAGCCCAATTTTCTTAACACTATCGTTGTTGTGGAGAGAGTGAAAGAAAGTGGAAACAAAGAGAAATAGTTGATGCATTTTTGCACATGGTTTTATAGAAACGAGATCACATGTTCCATTCAATTACACTTTCCAACTACATTTTTCAAAATATTCATTCTTCATATCCATTCCATCAACTCAATACTGACTGATTCGTGAACAACAAAAAATACTATGAAACAAAGACATGAGATTCAAAAGTACAACTATTCGTTTCAATAATTAGGTACAGCCAGATAGACGACAAGTTTTGATTTTGTCATACATACATTGAAAATATCTAAAATCCAAATCTCCGCACCCACCGACTTCACAAAAAAATTACCTAGTCCTTCCAGTTTATTGATTTTCCGGTTCGTCCTTCTTTCAACATTAAAAATTTATGACGAACAGTACAATCAGACGGGTGTATAATTCCCCTTGGGTGTGTAAAATATTTGACCTGTCCGTAGTCGTCGAGTTATTTCACTCAACAATAAACGTTTTTCCTTCTTTATTTTCGTGAGAACTCCACGATTTTCTTGCGCCCGTCGTGACAAATAAGGAAGGACTTCCTTCACAGGTCCATAAGGAATGTATTTATACGCAGAGTAACCTGATTGACCTGTAACAGCAAAAAATCCTCACACAGGTATTCAAAGAAAAATTATTTCCCTCCACACATGTTTCTTGCAAATTTCGTCGATCGCTTGAAGTGTTGAATATTTTTTAAACTTTTAGTCGCACTTAAAAAATCATCAAATGATGATACAAAGTCATTTTTTCCTTTTAATCTGATAATTTGTCATATCATATTAATTTACTTACCAAGTGGGAATGTCAAATAATCACACATGCCCAAGAGCTGTCCAAAGCATATGACTTTATCCTCTGGTGAAATGCCGATTTCCTTCATTCTGCAATAACGATTTCAAAAATTACAATGTCAAGATGACCAACTAATTGAAATAATAAAACAAATTACTTTTCAATAGCAAAACGAATAGTATCTTCATTGTGCGAGGCAACCATGATTGCCATTTTCTTGGGATCCTCCTGTCGATCCTTGTACTGCTTCATCCTCCTCAAACATTCCATTAGAGTTCTGTGATAAGAGTCCGTTGTCGCCTCATAAGTGGGACAAGTTGGATCTGCATAACCCATAGCAGCTGCCCTAGCGCGTTCCTTCATTAAATCGAACAAACATTGAAGCATTGAATCATTGCCGTAATAAATTTCTAAACTAGGATAAATACCTCCTAAATGAGCAGACATAGCGAAATTTTTATGAATATCTTTTTTTTCCTCCACATATCGCTCGACAAAAAAGATAAATATGAAAATTCCTGTATTTGTATTCATTCCCAAGATATTCACCTACGATTATTTCACCTACTGACTCCAGGTGGAATCTTGTTTTACTAATTCATTAGAAATTAAGGGATCGGATTTTTGGTGTGCGAGGGGTAAGTACCTGCTCGATGTAAGCCCCTCGAACGAGTTTAGCACCGAAGTAAAAATTTTGACGCTCTGCTTGCTCAAGGTCAGTCTTCACCTCGTTGAATGCTTCCTTGAGATACGTCTGGTACGTATTGAACACGACTGCCTAAGACAAAATTAGACCACGTTCAGCCACGTTCTCAGTGCTTCCTCAACACCGTTTTATTCAATCTCTGCAATAATTTTTTTTATGACACAATACCATTGTTCAATAAAATTTCAATTACCTTCTTTGTATTGTACTTGCGCATCATTTCGAGAGTCAGCCTCGATATCGCTGGTTGAAAGTACGTTTGCTCAGCATCTATCATTATCCGAAGATTGAGCTTATCAGCAACCTAAAACACACACTTACATTAATTTTTTTTATTCTATGACGAACCCTCCAGTTTTCCTTACCGTGACAATACAATTAAGTCGTCTTATCATATTTCTGAACATTTCCTCTTCCTTGGCAGTCAATTGCGTCATTAACTTCACCATCTTTCCTGTCTTGATATCAGGTACCTGGAATGTCTCACTTAACTCGTAATTCTCATCGAGAATTCCACTCCATGGGAACAAATGGATAACGCTGCGAGAAAAAAATTTATCATTTTGATTAATCATTTGTGATAATTCACATTTTTTCAAACCAAATCAAAAGAATTATTTATTTCTTCACTTTTCTTTCATAAAAAACAGACAAGCCAGAAATTATTTTCTACAACTAGTAAACCCTTCCGAATGCTCGATATTTTAAAAAAGCACCAAATGATTATTCATCTCCACTCCTTTCTACATAAAAAAAACGAAGAGGGAAAATCTAGTCTAGCTGGACATCCAGTTCTACTCTAAAATTTCAAAACAAACTTTCCCTTACTTTCTGCCATTCGCCGTTGATCACCAGTGAATTGGCACCATGAAAATGGCAAAACAACTATTGAATATAGATTCTTAGGATATACTTTCCCAGTCTCCGGAAACATGAAATTTTTATCCGCAGATAATTCATTCCAATTATCGTGTTAATTTACTAGGAACATTGATAAACTTACCCTTCTTTGTCCGCCTGGATCTTCTCCAAGAACTTTTGCACCGGGACGGCATCTTTGATATGCGCCTCTTCGAATTTCTTTTTGAAATCATCTGGTTTGGCATGATGTGCTAATACAGCCCCTTCACCACCAACAACATCGGACATGTACTGGCGCGCTCGCATGATCACCTCCGACAATTGAAGCTAGACACAAATTGAATAAATCCCCATTTTCCAAAATTTTTATATAAAATAAAAATACCAACCAATAACTGAGGTCTTCCAAGAGCTGTTAATTTGACGGCAGTGATACCAGCGCCCATCGATGCCCCTAAAAATCAAATTCTCCAATAAAAATAAAAGCTAGACTAATCCCCACTAATTAATCATTTATCCTTGTCTGTAATCTAGAAGTTAACAAATTGTCAAGACTAATTGATAATTTGAATTTCCATAAAACTCCAATCAATAATTATTACGATAATCTATATCATTGTATTGGCTAACCAAATTGATGAGAAATAATCCTAAACTTTGTGTCGTCTCCTCAAGCCAAAGAATTAGGTCTTTCCTTGAATCACCTGCGAAATGGTAATTCAAACAAACCGCTAAAGAATTTTCATACATATATCAGTCGTACACGAAGAATGTATTACCCAAGAGTAACATTGCCCCTTAAAATTAGGGAAAAGGAAAATTAAATTTTAAGATTCAGTTGAAATTCAATTACCGCTGACAGCTTCCAAGCATTTAATGAATATATCCATATTCCTCTCACACGATGCCTCATTGAGATAGAAGTACGTTCTGGCTGATGATACCTTATATCTCCTGTCAGCAAATGATTTCTCAACGTGATATTTCTTTAGTGTTCCCTCTTTCTTCTCATCACCGGCCTCCGACACTGATGCCCTACAATCAAATTATCGACTCATCACATCCAATTACTGTTATTTAAAATCACTAATGATTTATCGATTTTACACACTTGAGTTCACGTCTTTCCGCTTCTTCTTGAGATAAATCTTCCTCAACTGAATAATCGAGAATGGGCTTGACGCCAAATTGACGCAATCGTCCGATCACAGGTTTGATCTTCTCCTCGTCTTCACCGGCCACAAAGTGACCGTAAAATGTTGTTTTCATTAACAAAGTGAAAATTCTCTCTCCCAGTACGGCTTTGGCAACTTTCATGAACTGTAAATTCAGTAGATTATTTTTTCAGCGTCGAATACCTCATTCGTACTAGATTACGAAAGCTACATGCGCCTTGAAATTCACAGATGACCATGAGAAAAAATTTTAAAAAGCAATTTACAGGTTGAGACTTTGGGAATTTCGACAATTCGATGAAGTTGCATAATTATGCGTGTGCAAAATGACGCATGAGATGGCATAGATTTTACCCAAATTTCTTAGCCAAAAATTCTGGTTTTATTTTTGTTTTAGGTCAACATTAAATTATTTCACAAGACTGGCTTCTCAAGAGGCCAAACTACAAGGCAACTCGTGAAACCTTACTGATTGATTTCAAATTAATTGATAGAGTGTCAATGTTTTCAATGGATTCGATCCCATCAGCGTGGATATATAATAATTGCCTTCACCGATACATTAATAAACGTAAACAATGTGATTATAATTCCTGGAAACATTATTATTCAATACGATAGATCGGTGTTATCTCCCAGACAACTAAAAAAAAAGATAAAAATTGAATTCAAATTTTCAAAATTATCTTTCATATTTCATGTTGCATATGAAGCGTTCAACGTCTGAAGGGTAATTTCCGGCTGATAACAGATATCAATTCATAAAAAAGGAAAGAATAAACATGAAGGAGTAGACATTTTACTATAATTCAAATTCAAGTGCACAAGGGAGATAATAGACTCACATTTTCAAGTTCAATTCGTATACGAAACGTACAATTTTTATCGTAGAGTTGAGAAAAAAGTATTAAAAAATTGGAGTAAAAATTCTATTGCCAATACGAAAGTCGAGAATGTCTCAATGACTAGAGCTAAATAAACGAGTTGAAATAAAATTCATGAAGAGTTCGCAACGAAGGAGTATGAGGATACCATTGAGGTGTCTCACATTACCTTCTCATACCAACAAAAAAATTGTCATGTAATTGTATACTGCATGAAATAGACCGATGAAAAAACCGTCCGATTGAAGAGCAAAAAACATAAATGACACAACAGGATAAAAGATAAAAGAAAAACAGAATAAACCAGAAGTAGCATAAATAAAAGATAAGATTGAGATTTATTTATCTCAGTCTAGTATTCCACGCGGAACACAGACCTTCAAAATTCTCTAATTTCTAAAAATAATTACTCCTACACGAAGTGCTCTCGAATGCAGAGACAAATGTGAAAGAGAAAAATAAGGTTTTTGGAATGTGTCCAGTAGGTATTAGAGGCCAGGTTCATTCGATTGCCGGGAAGGAACACACACCTTCATCTTCATAGAAACGTCACCAATCTAGTACACATTCAAGTGCACACCTGTTTAAACCATTCTCCCTACCTCGTAATAAATGCTACAGATGAATACGGAAGCGTCGAGGGTCTCATTGATTGATAAATTAGCCGTTAAAAAAATTACCTTCATATTGTTCTCAACGACATAGTCGATAGAGCAAATTTGATACACGATGTAGGCCCTGATGAGTTCCATAGTTGTTTTACTTTTGAATGATGCCACTGGATCATCAAATTTGAGGTCGAGTGGATCGATTTGCCTGGATACCGGCTGTCCCTCGGGCTGACTCGTTGAATATCCACGTTCATCAAGATTTTTCACTAAATGTACAACACTTTTTCTACCATTCTCCAACAATCCTGACTCCAAGCACTTCAATAATTTTCTACTGGCACAATAACGCGGCAATGTTCTCAAAAACGCCATAACTCAGGTACGTCAACAAAGTCTCCGAATTGAAAAGCAGGTGAGGAGTTGAAATTTCTATAATCAGATCGGATGACAAGAATTCAAGGTTTTATTGAAGTGCAGACGGTTGCGTTGTGCCGGTAATGGCTTATCAATTGCACAATTGATGGCCAAGAACGATTACTCGGTTTTTTTTTTTTAAAGGAAATTATCTCACACCGTCGAGCACCTCACGCGGTCGAACCGGAGATCCCAATTGAAAGAGTGGTGGAGCAGTGGATGAATAGCGACGATAGCGGGGCTAGAGGGGTTAGAGGGGCTAGAGGGGCTTGGGGGGCTTGAGGGGTTTGAGGAGAGTCTTCATAGTCTAGGCCGACTTGCATTGCAATTGGTGGGGTACATTGAAAACGCTGCGCGCCATACAATTGAATTTTATTCAATATTTCCTCGAAAATTCATTTTTCAAATCGAACAAATTCATTTTGTTGTACTCTAAGTCTCTAGGGATTTGTCTGGCATTTATTCTATCCTTTTTATATTTTTCAGGAACTCCGTAGTGGAAATTCCTCATCGAATTCCAGGGGATGAGTTTGTACATGTGGAAATTATCTACCAATCTCTGTGATTCTCCGTTGAGGTTCATTGGCTTGAGGTGGAGGTGTGTCTATGGCCTTGAACGTTCATTGGTCTTGATTTATCGGCATGTAATTATTTTTTTTGTAATGAACTAAATTTATATCGTCTGGGAATTATTTGGAAATAATGAAGAATATTAAAGATGAGTTTGGGAATTAATCATTATTTTGTAAATAATTTTTCTTTCTTCCGGATTTTCGTTGCGGCTTCTACCTTTACGGGGTAAACAGGTTAATTTTTTTATTTACTTATGGAGCAGAAGGAACAATTTTTCTGATTTTAACTTTAAACATATTTAAAATAACTCAATTTAACTTTAAACACATGGTAATCAATTCTACGCATGCGCCACCACTTCCGTAAATCGCCATTGCAAAAACAAATTACAAAAATATTTGGATATTCCAAAATTTTAAACAATATTTTTTAAACGATGCAATTGGTTCCTAAAGGCTACAAGTAAATTTTATTAGAAAATTAATTATTCCCCTGCTAATTACATCCCGTCGAGAGGATTGACTAAAGTCGAGGCTTCTGGGGGTTTGAGCGACCCCAGCGTCATCGTAGTACTGCACCCCAAGAGAGAGAGGGCGGCACACGCAATGGGGGTGTCCATCAAGTCGACGGGGTAAATTTTATTTTCTGCTGTACGAATGCTTTTTGTTTTTCATTTGTTTAACAGAAATTTAGCCGACTGTAGCACGTACGGAAGGGGGAAACCACATCTTGTGGAATTTCAATGAAAAAAATTATTCAATGTATTGAATATATACCACTAATGAATTAATTTTTTTATAATAAACGCGTTGTCCTAGCGGTAACGTGCTCGACTGGCACGCCGGCGGCCCGGGTTCAATCCCCGGCATCATTCATTTTTTTTTTTCAAAATAATTCCAATTTTTTTTTTGTTAATGGCAAATCAATCGAAATATCGTTTAAAAACTGAATATTTGAAAATCGAGAAGATATCCAGTGAAATTGAAAAATTAGCAATTTTTTAAAAAGATACTTTTGCAAAATATATACTCCTAATGAAATTATAATATTGTAATAGTTCGTTATCCTAGCGGTAACGTGCTCGGCTAGCACGCCGACGGCCCGGGTTCGATCCCGCCGTCATTCATTTTTTTTTTAAATAATTCCAATTTTTTATTTAGGTAGGTATTCACCGCAATTGAAAAATTCGAAATTTTTGAAAAAGTATCAGGGTAACATGAACATCGAGGAGCTATTCACTGAAATATTCACTGAAAGTGAAAAATTCGAAATTTTTGAAAAAGTATCAGGGGAACATAACAATCGAGGAGCTATTCACTGAAATTTTC